TTCTTAACAAAATAAAATTTTGCTACCTTTCTCTTCTTACACAAATAATTAAAACCTGATTTATGTAGATATCATTATAATTTCAAAAGTTATACTGAAATACTGTTTACATCTGATCAGCACTAAGAGCTGGAATTTATAGGTTACAAGTAATTACTTTGTCTTTTTTTAATCGAAGTTCCCTTGTTATTTAAGATTTCCAAATAATATATTAAATGTTCTGGATTAATCTTTATGTCTCAAGTTAGCTGAGATTAGCACATTGGGCAAGAATTCAGTTTTGCAGAAAACTCTCAGTATTAACCAGAGGTGTTTTAAAAGTGCAGGAAAAGGAATTCTCTCTGAACCACCCTTAAATTTTCTCATGAGAGTTCACCCTTTAAATCTCATTATGCTTACTCAAGTTCACAAAAACACTAAAAAGAAGCTACATTTAATTTTTAAGTAATACCTGTTTTGGACATAAAATGTATTAATATAGGCTGCTGTATTTCCTTATCACCTAGAAACTTCTAATTTCCTGGCATTTCCCCTGGCATGTGAATATATTTTAACTTTTAATGAGATATTAATAATTGCCTTTCAGTAGATTGATCATGCATACCAGGCTCATCCATTGTACTATTCACACAAGGAACTGTTCCTAGTCTAATCACTAGGAAGGAAGAATGATCCTCCCTAAATATTTAAGACAGAAAAAATAATCAAATAATATGATTATAATCTATATTTCCTTAGACAGCTTGGAACACATATATTATAAAAATTGTTGGTAACATGTAAACTATAATTCTAGAAAAACATATCCTAAATTGTGAACCACCTGTGAAAGAATCAATGAATACAGTAGTATAAAAAACTTGTCTGTGGAACAGAGGAATGAGAAAAATGAGAATTGAATAAAATTTCCAGAACAGTAACCTCAGTTTTGAAGAAAGGGAAGTAACATTTAAATGTATGTCAATTTCTGGAATGAAATGCTTCTTAATACTCCCTGGACACCGGATCATTGCTCGAGTCATCAACATAACATAAAAGACAGAATGAACAGGAAACAAAGGCGCAGCTTACCAGATGTCAGAAATATTAAGCCAAACCAGTTATCAAGTCTTTTTTTTATTTTTAATATGAGTTTCCTGAGGATACATAACTTCAGTAATAATTGTAATTCAATAGTCTCCAATAACATTTAACCCCTGTCCAGTTTCAGGCAAATCTAACAAAAGTGCAGAGGCCTCAAAGACATTATGGTTCTACATTGAGTAGAGGAGAAAACACTGCTAAAAGAAAATCAGAGAAAATTCTGCCTTACTCATCTCATTTGGCAGCAGCCAAGTGCTCAATCAGCAGGCAGATGGCTCTGGACGAGTCACCGGAGGAGGATGGGACAGGGCTACAGTGCATGGCAGTGGGAAGTGAAAGGATGACACCCGCTAAGTATGGAGATCATATGAATTGGATGTACTGTGTGGAACTAGGGATAGGGAAAGCATCATATTTGGAGTATAAATTCTAAAAGAAAATGAACAGCAGAAAATGAACTTTTGCACTTAATTAGCTATTGAGTTACATTAGCAAGTTTGGATAGTAGACACCTCAAAAGCATAAAACAGAGATAATGTCTACTTCTGGCATGTGAGCTTACTTTTTCAGAACTAGAGTGGAATATCTTCATACAGCACTCCTATATAAACATGGCTGTGTACTTTCACACAACAACATTGTAAAAAGTGAGACCAAACTCATATTCAAATTTCATATTATGTCTATATACTGCCATGAAACAACTAAGACTTAACAATCAAATTTTATAAAAAACATTTTAAACCATAACTTGTATTTAAATTCTGCTTTATCCTAAAGAACTGAGCTAGATGTTTTAAAAAACAAAATATACAAATGGAGTATCAAGGAAACACTTTCCTTGTAAAATTAGACTCTACACATAATAACTAAAGATCTTTCACACACTATACAGTGTGTAATTGTTAGCACTTGATGTACAAAACATGTCAGTGGAAGCATCTGTCTAGTGTGATGATCTTGATGCAATCAGCATCTATTGATTCTAAACAAAGCAAAACATGAAGAATCTATTCATCTTAAGACCATAGAGAATTAATGAAAGAAAACTAGACAGAAAATTCTGATATAACTCAAGGCTGATAACAGTGTCATCAGTAGATGGAACATCTTCTATCGAATTACTGAAATAAATTTATGACTATGAAATTAGGGCCCTCAGCCATTCACGAGGTGGATTCTTCAGTAGTATAACAAGAACTGAGAGATGTTGATTATTAAAAAGCAAAAATCTCCCCATGTAGAGCATTGTCTGTCACCTTCCATTAAAAGTATAGTTCATTTATAACTGGCCTCTCTAAAGAAAGGAAGTCTGTGGTAATGAAGAAAAAGAAATCAGTATTGTACAAGATGCACTAAAGTAATTGATAAGTGAAATGTATTTGAGGTTCCAGGTTATTTTCCTGATGAATTAAAAAACTCATGCCTGCTCCTGAGACATACGACTGTGTTTTGCAAGCAGAATTTTTCAGCTATGTTTTCTATTCTAGAGATTATTATTACCATGTATTTCAGAACTGCAACCATCCAATTGATAAAAGTATTCAGTAATGTTTCATATTCTTACTTCTAGACTTTTTGGTATTTTGGAAAACTGTAACTCTTCTGTTAGTAATTTCTTTGAAAGAAATTTAGAATGAGTACAGAAAAAAAAGTAAATTCATTTAAGCAGATATATTTACAACCTCTATTTCTAAGCTTTACATAGATTTTTACAGTGTCTCTTTAAGGGGGACAAATCCGGCATACCTTACTTCATATGCATCTCTAATGAACACTGATCTACCAAAGCCAGAAAGATAGGATCTTTTAAACATGTACATTGAAGCATATTTCTAAATAAAACAAATAATAAAGGTATCAATCAGATGTGCATGTTATCAAGTAAAGTACTCATACAGTTAAGAATCAGATTCAAAACTCACAAGTATGGTAATGGAGAAAAAGAAACTAACCAAAAGAGAATCTGTGGTTTAGCTGAGGCTCAGCCTCTCTGTCGCAAGGGTTATACAGTTGATATATGCAGTTTTGGTTAGCATTTCCTTTGAGTTCAATTCTGAATGTGACAAGCCTCAGTTACTCTCATTTAGCATTCCATCCAATAAGGAAATTGACGAGAAATTTAACTGAAAATCATGTCATACAAAGAAAGGAGAAGAAAAATAAACAATGAAGTTATTTCTGTTAGTGCAATACTCATGTATGATTGTAATAGGTCATGATGTTAAGATGGCCAGATTTTAGGTCGACTATACTTTCATTCTGTATTACTAACATAAAGTTACCGTTCTTTTGTGAAGGGTTTAAGCTATACTTGTTGAAAAGGAGTAAAAAAGCAATGTTACAGTCATAACTGTGGGATAGGAATCCTGTGTAAACCTGTGTAAGGAAAGATAAAGCAAATGTCTGTACTCCACAAGACTTGTTCTAGCATTAATATGTTCTGTTAAAAATAACAAATGTACTTTTTTTACTTTGCTTTGTTAAATGATGTTTTCATTAAATGTGAAACGATGTTTTGTAGTTTCCAATGATATTTTTTCAAATTTTAGAATCCCTTAAAATGTATAGAATATACATTTCTATTTGTGAAAAAGTATTAATACAGATAAAGAAATATATGTGCCAATGTACAGTTCTGCCTGCTAGTGCATTTAATATCCCAAACCTT